TCATTTTGCGGTTAAATAAGTGTTTAAGTCTATTTTAAATCTTCAGAAATCTGGAAAAGAAGAAGGTCAGAGTTTGAAAGCTGTACTCCTGCAGCGTCTCCACGTTGTGTCCTGGGTTCGGGTTTCCTCTGGAGGAGCACGGACATACGCTTCATATGCACATGCAGCATAAACCAGTAACGTTACTGGATACAGTAAACTGAACCAACAGGCCGACTGTTTCCCAATCATGTGGTCTTGTTTTCTTTGTGAGCCCGTGGGCCTGTGAAGCCCTGTGAGATACCAGCAGCAGCAGCAGCTTACCTGTCCAGGAGAAGAACAACAAGCCAAGACTGATGTAACCTGAGCCTGATGTAATCTCTCTGTGTCTTAAACACTTCGCTGATCTCCACGTATTTTATTGCATTTATTGACAGACTCACTTTTCAGCTGCCTTCTCGGTCCGTCTGTTTTCGTCCATCGTCCATTATTCGGATTGCCTCGCGGTGCTGCTGGTGATTGTTGTTGCCAAAGGTAGAGAAGCAGGTTCTCCTCCAGGATTTGAATCTTTCTCTCCACGATCTGCAAATGCATTTTTACAGCAGCTGATGTGAACAACAGCTTCTCTCTGACGTGTGATTGGCCGGAGTCTCAACCTGAAAGCAGAGCAGGAGGAGGTGCTGAGAGGGAAAAAAATCCTGCCTACCCCGGCTTTAAATGTGCAAAATAACATACGATTCATGTGTTATCATGACCGCCTCGCAAAAAGTGCATATTTATTAGAAAGCCGGTTTTTCCATTCCAGGCATTTAAATGGCTTCCACGCCTGTTAGGCTCAGGTGTGGCGGCTCCACCTGTCTCTGGGCAGCTGCTGTAACTCACTGTACTCGTTTACAGCGTGTAACCACTGCATACAACCACCATCATTTCATTACCGCTGCGCTTGCGGAGTTATTTATAATCTAACAAATGTTTTTATGGATTTAAGTTTCTAAAACTTCTCACGTTCTATTGATTCTGATATAAAATCTGTACAAACTGCGACACAGAAAAGCTTTTAGCTGCGCCGCACTCCGTATCTCAGGTCCTCGGTTTCTATCACGGTTTGGAGCCACTTCATCACGGATGCGATTGTTAAAGACGTCTGAGTCCTGGACGCCGGCCACCCGTTTGTTTGTAATGAGATATTACCGTTGGGCTCCTCTCCGTGTGCCCTGTTGTGTTTTTTATGCGTTCATTATCGGGAACGCTTCGTTTCTTCTTCGCTCTAAACACTGAGTGCTGTTACCAGCGCGTTGGGCCGAGTACCGTCTGAATTATTGTCACTTTTATCGAACAAATAAAACACATCCTGCGGCTCCCGCTTCTTTCCTCCCTCCAGCTAATTGGTGCGCTGATGCGTTAGCGGGCCACGATGTCGCACACCTGCACACACACACACACACACACACACACACATACACACACACACTCTGACATCTGCAGTAAACTAAAATAAATTGGTTTAAAATGTGGACAAGTGCTCTGTGTGGTCAGGAAACGTGACAGACGATATCATTTACAGCTGATTTGGAGACGGACTGTTCTGCTGGTTGAAACCAGGATCCTTTGTGTTGATGCGGGTAAATATAATTCTTATTTTGTGTCTTTAACGTTGTTTTTCCTCTCTCACGTCGATGTTCTTTTGTCTGAAACCCATTTTTTTTGTTTGTGATTTTACATAAAACTCATTAAATCCTAACAGGATGAATCCTTACTTTCTTTTATCCTCCTTGTCCCAGATCCCTTCTTTGCAGAGTGCTGTGTCAGCTATTGAAGTTTTGTTTAACACTGCTGGCGGATTTCTATCCTCCCCCCGTTCTCTCCTCCTGCCTCTCTCATTGGCTCTGGATTGCCTTTCCATTACAAAGTCTCTTTAGCCATTTGCGTGCCATCCCAAACTTTTTAATTGTGCCCTTTGAGAGTGTTCTGTCAGGTGCCCGAGCCGGGCCGACACCGTCTCACACGCGTGTCATAAACCAGAGGAGCAGCCAATCAGAATTAATGATGACAGGGATGGGATGTTGGCCAATTAGCACCGAGGCGGTAATTTATGCGTTCCACATGGCCGGACCAATGGGGAGGTTAGATGGCGTCCATAAACCCGTCCATCCGTGGACGAGCAGAAGAAAGTCGGCCTCGTCACCTTCAGAGCCAAGATGGCCGAAGCGTGATGCTGTTTCCTGCCAAGCGTGGCTCCAACAGAAATGATGCTGGACGCAGGGACGGAGCTGCAGCACCCACAGCCGCCTGCAGGGGGAGTCTCCAGATAAACGTGACTGCAGCTCGTTTTTTTATTTTTTATTCCAATGCTGAGTACTGAAAATAAATGGCTCATTAGGAAGAGATTAAGGCTTCAAGCAGCAGTAATTGTTTAATTTAAATGTTTTTTTGTTCACTTCGGGGCACAAAACACATCTTTCCAATTATCACCTCATAAAGCCAGTTGCCTACATCCAGCAGAATTAGCTTTGGATCATATTCTTTTAGTTCCTTTTTTTCCTGAGGGACGTTTTATTAGCTGCTAACTGCTGCACTGTGTTCACTTGCTGGTTGCTAACTGGCTGGTTTTGGAGTCAATAAATAGGATTTAGACATAGTTTGGGATGTTTTATGCTGAATAATACGAGTGTCCATGTGCCGAATCTCAACATTATATAAATACTGCAATTAATGAACCCATATAATTGAAATAATAATCATTAATGATCATTTGTTGCAGCTGAGCAGGTATCTTCCTCACAAACCGGAGCTCGACAGGTCTGTTTTTCCTGCAATCTACAGCCTTCAATTATAATAAATATGCAGAGAGGCGGGAAAAAAGCTAAATGATATCCTCCAGAGGGGAAAATTCAGCTTTTTTTTTTCCTTTTTTTGACATTTTGGTCCCTTTTAGTGCTGCTTTAGCAGAAACACATTTCTATTTCTCGATAAATATTCAATTTGTACCAGAAGCTTTTTACTAAAACTTGGAGAAATATTCATCATGATATAAATAAACCGTAACAAATGTTCTGCTGAGTCAGGAGCCACGTTTTCAGGTCAAAAATCCTCAACTTTTGTGAGTGAGGTGGAAGCAGCCGGAGCAGTTATCGTCTCCGCAGAGGGCAGTATTTATATTTAATGTGTCAGGAAAACAGAAGCTCCTGATGCTACGATGCTGCCGGTTTATGTGCTGTCAGATAGTTTGCTTTAAAGGTTTTGCAGATCTGAGCTGCCATTTACGTCTTTTAGCGTTTCAGAGCTATCGCCCAAACTGGAAGTTTGTTCTTTTCTTCTCGTGTCAGGAAAATTACTCAAGGAAGAAAAAAGAAAAGAAGCTCTTTTCTGAAAGGTTTGAATGTTCTTTTTAATGTCTGTTGTTTAACCTTTTCATTTTCTGCTCAAACATCGCCGTGCCAGCCGACGGCTACGTTGCTTCTCCCTCCTCTGACACGGAGACGCTTGTTTTTACTCGTCTTTCTTGACATTTGTATGGAGGAAAGCAGGGATCACATGAGTTGAAATAACACAATCAGTCAGTGGTAGCTAACCTTTTCAGCGCGCAGACAAATACTTCCAGGCGAGTGCGAGTTGCTTCAAAATGTTACTCGGTGATTATTTCAAAGAGCTGAATGGAGATGAACTGATGTTGATGAAGTTATTTTAGAAGTTTGCTTCCAGTGAGCGGAGATGAAGGAGAACCTGGAACGTGTCTCAGATTCGGTAAATCTGTGGGTTTCAAGCTCAGAACAAAAAACTTCAAACAAAATAATGTGTTGATTGTGATTACGTAACGCACACATGAAGCCTGGAGGACGCCCATGAATAATTTTGTTTGCATTTCGATCATGGATCTCCAACGATTCAGAGGTTCTGTAGTTGTCAGTTAGCTTTACAGCGTCCCTCCTCTTTGTTGCCTGCTGCCTCGTACAGTTCGAGTCTGTTTGAAGATAAAAAAGCTCCTTTTTTTGCGTATTCTGCCTGAGAAGACAGATGTTTCTGGGGCGTCGTACATCAGAAGATTGATTTTTCTGTCGTGACGCATTTGATTCTAGTTTCATTCAGCATTTGAAGAGCTTTATGCAAATCATCATTCTCTCCTGTGAGAAAACACGTTTGAAAATATTAATTCTGCCGCGCTGACAGCTCCACGCCGGCCTGAACGCAGCGTCGGCCCGTGAAATATTCAGACTCATTCGATGTGATTGCTGTCAGTCCCGTCCTTTCTTTTCTTTTAAACTTCTCGACACCAGGTGCTCTCGCTTCTCACAAAGAGGGAAACAGATTAGAGCCGCGTTCAGCACAACATGCTGATGGAGGGAAGAACAAAAACAGCGTTCGTGAGGGATGGAGGAAAACACACCTATCCCCGGGCTGCAGCAGACAAACTCCTTTATGAACAAACACACTCATCAAAGGCCAACATGCACACACACGCACACAGACACACACACACACACACACATGCACTAACTGTATGCACACTCTGTCACTTCTAAACACACACATATTTTGGTAGCAGCCTGCATCACCCGAGGCGGCCTGGCAACGACTTCCATTCTGTTTGTCCGGCAGCCGTTCGTCCATTAGACCTGATGTAATGTCCACACGATAATGGAGCTGAAGAAAGGCTGCATTAAGACACAGTGGTTTATGTGCACAGGCCAGACGAGGGCAAAACGCTCCTCTGCCCGGCAACTGGATGCCAAAACTCTTTTTTCTTTCCATTGTCTCTGTATTTTTTCTTTTTCGCTTTGGACCTTTGTGAATGTCTCCTAAGTCTGTGCATCCGTGTCACCCGTTGCAGATCTTCATCGGAGAGGTGTCCATGTACGTGATGAAGTCGACGAGGGAAGCTCTCCTGGCCCAGGAGAAGACCATCGTGACAGGAGACTGCTGTTACCTCAACCCCCTCATCCGCCGCATCATTCGCTTCATCGGTAAGAACGCCGTGGTGGCGTCCACGCTGAGCCGCCCTCGTGTTACCGACAACTGGCACATCAAAAATATGTGCATGAACCCTTTCATGGGTGCTTATTATGTTGATGTTTGTATTTTGATTATAGCTCTTCAGGAAGACAGATCCATATGTTTTTGTCTGAGGGAGAAGTAAAGTGCAGTCGTTTCATATTTTAGATTCTGCAGTTTGAAACGTTTCAGCTTTAAAAACTTGTTGAAAAATGGGTTTGGTTTCAACATTCTGCACAAACTTTCCTTTGGTCTACGTCAGGGGTGTCCAATCCTGGTCCTCGAGGGCCACAATCCTGCATGTTTTAGATGTTTCCCTCTTGCAACACACCTGATTCAAATGATCAGCTCATCATCAAGCTCTGCAGAAGTCTGATAACCATCCTGATCATTTGAATCAGGTGTGTTGGAAACATCTAAAACATGCAGGATTGCGGCCCTCCAGGACCAGGATTGGACACTCCTGGTCTAGGTGAAGCGGAAATACAAATGAAACCACATCAATGTATGAAGTCATTGTTTTTATTTAGATTAGAGCTTTTTTTATCTGAAGCAGAAGTAAAGTGCGATCATCTCAGATTTTAGATTCTACAGTTTACATCTCATTTGACCTTTCAGGCTAAAAAAACAAACAACAAAAACAGCTTTAAAAACTTTAAAAGATGTGTTTGCTTTCAATGTTTTGCACAAGCTTTCCTTTACATGAATCTAACAGAACATGTGGTGGGCTTTGCTGAGTAGAAACCAGAGTTCTGTCCTCGCAGCACATCATGACGTACATCTTGCGTCCTCACACGACAGCGCCGAGGTTAACGTCTGGATGCCTGGCGCGCTTCGGGAGCTTTGCGTTGCTCAGTGAGCGCCTCGGGCCGCGGCGCTGTGAAATCCCACCAGTGTTTGCTCGACGCGTCACCTCGGCGCGCCGCCGTTGAACCGAAAAAACACAAATTTATGGATCATTAATTGAAATAATTTCATCCAGTTCAGCAGAAAGACTCACTGACTGGAGTTTGTTGTTTTTTGTTGCTAAGTGATCGCATTAATATTCAGAAGCACATCTGCAGTCGCCGTCTGTCTCCAGTTCAGCTATAGGTTATGTTTACATTCAGTCTTCTGCTCTTTTATTCAGCAGAACTCTACAGAAGTATTGTTTATGAGCTTAGTAGGTCAGTAAACCGTCTATCTGCAGCATCAGGACTGTTTCTGTCGCCTCCACAGCGAGCTTTTAACGGAGAGGGAACACGCTGTAGCTGCATGGCGGCTGAGCTGACAGCTGGATGCGGCTGCTGTCAGTCACCTGTGAGGGGAGCTCCAACGCAAACACATACCGACTCGGTGACCTTGATGATTCAGACCCTGAAGATTGGTTTGTTGGCGCCGTAATGTAGAATGAACTAAAGCTCTAATTCATCCTGCGGTGGAGGAAGGAGGCCGGCGTGGTCATCAGGCCGCTGACGTTCCTGCGAGTGACACATCACACGAGCAGCTATTTCTGCGTCGTTTGCGTCAGGTTGAGGTAAACAGTCGGGATGACGTCCTTAACCCTAATCATGACTTTCTGACACGTCTGTCTCGTGTCAGCCTGCACATATGAAACCCTCCGGCTGTGTTCTGACACTTTCTTGAGAATAAAGTGCAGCACAAACAGAGTCAATGTGGCATCAAGCGTATTTATGCCCACAGCAAACACCCGCCGTGACGAGCAGACACTGGAGGAAATAACACTTAAATTATATATTTGATGCTTTTGTTGTGAAGGTGCACAGCGGCGCCGCCTGAGGTGATGATGCATGTCACGATGACGCCGGCGTGTCTCGCCCTTAAAGCCACTGATTGGATTACTTTATATATTCAGCAGGCAGCTCCTCCAACAAATAGGAAGAAAGTGGAAAAAAAATAAGATCTGAACTCAGAAGCTCAACAGATCTGCTTGTGCACGTGGTTTGATTATCTGACCGCGGCCTCCTTCATTTTTGATTTGAATGCTGCAAGAAATACATGACATCAGCTTTTTCTATCAGAGTCCAACAATAGAGCTGCAGGAATCTTTAGAGAATCACAACAACCTTAATGCAAAGCCCATCATGTGAATGCATTCAGGAGGCAGCAGGCTTCGCTTAAATAATCTAAATACTAGATTATACAACATCTAACGTGCTGTGAGTGTAGAAAACCAACAGCTTAATGCTCCAGCGCTCATAAATCTACACCTGCACCGATGGGAGCAGATCGAGGAGGGAACGTTGGGCCTCCGCCGCTTAAATCCATTATGTCACGTAAAAACTCACATTTGGAGGCGGCTTGGACGGCGATTCGCTGACCACACCAGCTATTTTGATTTAAATAAGGTTAATTTGCTGGTTGAGGCATTTTATTTTAAATACAGTAACCTGGCCTGACTCGACGGGTTGCAGTAATTCTTCGGCGAGGGAGCCAATTGGGATCAAGTCCAGCCGCGATGCTTTTACTGCAGCTTTTCTAAAAACTCTCCGGCTCACGCTGAAAGGGGACATCGGACGTGTTGCATCATACGGACGCCACGTATGAAGTGTCAGAACAGTTCTGTTTTGTTTTATAGCCTCTTTTCCATAAAGCTCGAGCAGAACCGGGCCGACTGCTCCAGGACTGGACGTCGTAATCCAAACTAAACAGTCCCAATAATACCCCCCCTCCAGTCTGGAAAACAATTGTCAGAAAATTCATTAAGCATTTCACCTAATTTGGATTCCTGAGCGTTTCCTTAAAGTCGCTGGGCTCGCCGAGGCTCTCCTGCTCCCCCATCCCACCATCCTCTGCTTCCCTCAATGCCCTTCACACAGCCATGTCCCTGCACCCCTCCACCCCTCCACCCCCCCCCCCCCATCCTGCAACCCCCACCCAGCCCGGCCCGGATGACAATACAAAGCACAGTAATTTCATGGCTAAGCAGGCCAGATAATCAGCAGTCATATTTCACAGCAAAAGGAATGCAGACGCAGACATTGGTCAGGGTTGGTGGGCTCAAAGTGTCAGTGCAATCATTCATATTAAATGCAGGTTTTTTTTTCCTCTCCCCCTCTCAGTGTCTTTATCTTCTTCCTCTCTCTGCCTGTTGTCCACTTCTTTTTCCTTCCAATTTAACTTTAGCCGAATCCAGCTCGTCTCTTCTCTGTTTTAATTATAGATTCATACGTGCTGCAGGAAAACAAACTCTGCTGCATGATTTGTGACCGGTTTGGTTCCATGTGGCGCCACGTGTGATCGACAGAGTCACTACAGTTTAAATGCAAAATGTGTTTGAATGTATGCTCTATAGAGTCGACTGGACAGTTAATCAGCTCCCAGCGAAGCTCATGTGATAAAACCAGATTAAGTGAAACAGGCTCGTGCATTGAGGTGGTTTCTGAGCAGCATCCGACTGACCGGTTTGGATCACATGCATCAGTCGGTCGTTCTGCAGCTAAAGTGTTTCTTAGAAGAAGTGTGAACATGCATGAAGCTGTGTCTGTGCTCCACTGCTCTGGATTTTCATTTCTTTTCTCTTCTGGTGCTGCAGGTGTGTTCGCGTTCGGTCTGTTTGCCACCGACATCTTCGTCAACGCCGGCCAGGTGGTGACCGGAGGCCTCTCGCCGTACTTCCTGTCCATCTGCAAGCCCAACTACACCGGCACCGAGTGTCGCTTCAACCACCAGTTCATCGTCAACGGCAACATCTGCACCGGAAACCCCGTCGTGGTGGAGAACGCCCGCCGCTCGTTCCCGTCCAAGGACGCGTCGCTGAGCGTCTACTCGGCTGTTTACCTGACGGTGAGAGGAACGTGCTCGACGTTATGATCAAGATTGAACTGTGAAAACCATAGTAGTGTTTTCTATACTCTAACGAACCACTTTATTAGGTACACCTGTCCAACTGCTTGTTAAGGCAAATATCTGATCACATGGCAGCAACTCGATGCGTTTAGACGTGTAGACATGGTCAATACAACCTGCTGAAGTTCAAACCAAGCATCAGAATTGGGAAGAAAGGTGATTTAAATAACTTTGGTCGTTGGTGCCAGATGCTCTAAATATCCCAGAAACTCTCCATCTTCTGGGGTTTTCACACATAAACATCTCCAGGGTTTTTAAGGAACCGTCCGAAGAAGAGAAAATATCCAGTGAGCAGCAGGTCTCTGGGTGAAGATGTCTTGTTGATGCCAGAGGTCAGAGGAAGATGGCTGCACTGGTTCAAAATGGTAGAAAGGAAACTTAATTAACCACTCGTTACAACCCAGTGGTGCAGACGACCGTCTCTGAACGCACAATACGTCGAACCTTGAAGCATAAGACCAAACTTCTGTCAGCTAAGAGAAGGAAACTGAGTCTTGATTAGTGCTGCAACATTCAGATGGTTGGTTCAGGTTTGGGTGTAAACAACATGAAGCATGGATCCACCCTGCCTTGTGTCTGCCGTTTAGACTGGTGGTGGTTTAATGGTGCGGCGGATGTTTTCTCGCTACACTTTGGGCCCCTTAGTGCAAATGGACCATTGTTTAAACCTACTAGAG